AAAGCACCCCCACCCCCTCCCCAAAAACCAACTAAAAAACAAACAAACAATAGAACAAAAACAACACCAAAAAAAACCCAAGACAAAACTCGAAACAACAAAACCAAAGGGTAAAACCCAAAACGTAACTATAGCCTGCCTGATGCCTATCGGACGGCGGACACACTCCTTAAGTTAAGTGCATATTAATCTCTTTTATTCAGACATATTTCCCCCAAAATTCGTTTATAGATAGATACGCTAAACTGATGCAATCAGTTGGTTACAAAACGTATACATGTAGGCATAAAAGTTACTATTTTTCCCCTTCAGAAGATTCAGATTATCATTTTCTAGATTTTGCTCAGATGGCACTCCACCACTACCTCCTCCTCTACCAAAAAAACTGTGTTTCAATATCTGTCTATCTTCAGATAAATGAACACCCAGCCTAAGCATTTTATAGGATTAAAAGTCTCCTTCCTCTTCCGACCGTATGTTGACAGCAGATGGTGTAAATGCCATTTCCCGAGAAAAGAAACGCCATATAGCCTAACCAAGACCTTTCTCGACAAAGCGTTGGCTTGTTGACGTTTCCGTATCAAAAGAGTCAACCTCCATTCTCACAATTCCAATCTAGAGTCTAGTTCTAATTTATTAAAAACAATTTTTCGACATGCACGCTAGTGTAGATTTTGTCGGTAAGGGTCCGGATGTAAAGTTTTTCGCTCCAACTTGGCGGGCAACGGACAATTTCATGGCTCAGGCTGTGCCTTCTGACTGGGTGCCCTACTTTTGAAAAGCCCGGATGTTATCGACGGCGCAATTCGCCTGCCGCCATCGGCCAAACACAATCTGAGGCAGTACCGTCGGTGTCTCGGACTAGCGAACTTTTGTATCCCAAGTGTCGAATCTGGGTGATATCTGGTTTTGAGCAATCTTCATTGACATTGTTTAAAGCGGTGAGTACGTAAAATAGTCAGTAATTACGTCTGTTGTGCAAGAATATAGCTGGAACTGTGAATTTATTTACGCGAATCGGTGGTCCTGACTTCTGAGTGGGGTCATCATGGCGCCTCTTGCTTCCGGACGTGGAACTTTGGAAGGAAACTAGAATCTACGATGTATAAACTGATTAATACCCTTTTGATTACTTCCATAGGCTTCTTGTTTTGTATGAATGTCATTTTGGTTTTTATCATAAAAACTATTCTTTACTTTGTATCGTATCTGTGTTTCGGGAGATTCTTTTTGCCCTCGAACTTGAACGTAAGTAGTGACCTACTTTCAACGTCTCGTTTGGGATGTCCACACAAGTGTCGTAGTTTGATCGTGTCAAGTCAAGGTGTAACGATGATTGTTATCAACCGTTAGGCCTAAAGAACCATTGAATAAAAATAGAATAATTTGATCTAATATTGGGGAAACTGTTGGTACTCAGAGTTAACCAAATCATCATGGTTGTATTACCTGGAGACTGGGGAGCCTTGGGCCTTGGCCTCTTGGTCATCTACTTAGACTGACGGGGCCGGTGGTCAGATCAACAAGGCAAGGTCACTTGTTGACATCCTTCCACCCTGCTATAGTTTCTTTTTTTCCTCCCAGTTTGGGTGCCATGTTTGTATAGTTTTATGGGTTCTAGATCTACCTGTAAAAGTAAAAGTACAAACTCTAATCATGACCATCTACTATCTAGACTTACAGAGCTAGCTATGTTATGACTATGACAATGACTATGGGGTCCAGCACACACAATCTGTTGACCATGGCATGGTCAAGATTAGCAGCTTTGATTTGATTTTGGTGTCTTCTTGCCATTTTCTTTTTTTTTTAAATGACGGATGAGATGGAGATGTGTGCTCTAAGTGAATAGTCATTCTGAAATGAAATGCTGGGACTGGGAAGGAGTTGTAGTTCAATCAATATGATGATAAAGATCGTTGTAGGCCCTCTTTAAGCCTCTTAGAATTTTTCATTAATTTTAATGCAGTACCTTTGCTTGTGGAATTGTTCTAGTTCTACTTCTAGCCTCCCAGAAGTTTTGAAGGCCATACACAGAATAATCAGAATTGGTATCCTTTTCTTTGACTGAATCCCCTACCAAATTGTAGGTCTCTCTGCCTCAGAAGTGGGCACAGGTTTTTACACTTTTATGCTGTGAATTTGAAACGACTTACATTATTCAGAGCAAAGGAATGGTTGCCCTGGAAAAGTTCTACACTATCTTGTGTGTTGGGTTTGCTACAGTTTTAGATGCGCTTCTTGGTAGTACTTTGTAAACTGTTCGTTCAGACAGTTTTTATGAGAATGAGGCTCTGTTAAAATTGTATCACACGTACAAGACTCCACATGATGGTTTGTTTTTGCCTGGAGCCTTGGCCTCTTGGATTTTTGCCCTTCAAATTGGTTGTGTGCTCAGATTTTTGGGGCTAGTTGTCAGGTGGACATGGAAAGTTTATCGAAGTGGCTAGCCGTACTTTTAAAGTATGGCTAGACTGCCAGTGTAGCCGTACTTAGATCTAGGTTTGGCCCTATCGACTCAAACCTGTTAAGTACACAGGTCTCATTCGATCTGGATCTAGTAATTAATTATTCAGCCTGTTCAAATACATCATGCAAGTCAGTAAGACACCTTTTGGTTTTTGTATGGAATACAAATACTTTAGGCACTGCAAACTAAAAATTTCATTTACAATTCAACCATCAATATTAAGTACGGCTAGCCTGACAGTGTAGCCGTACTTATCTTAGGCCCTATTAACATTAGAAAACAGGAGGTTTAAAATACATGCACTGTCATTAAGGCACCTGGTTTCGTCTCAAATACAAATACTTTAGGTACTGCAAACTAAAAATGTATATTTACAATTCAGTAGGCCTATTTTTTTAAATGGTCAGTCTAGCCATCATATTAAGATTAAGTACGGCTAGCCCAGCTGTCTAGCCGTACTTAAGTACGGCTAGACTGCCAGTCTAGCCGTCATTAAGTATGGCTAGCCTCTTCCAAGTTTACTGTTGACGCCCTTGGTTTACCATGCTTGTTTATTTGTCAGTATGGGTGGCATGGTTGTCACCCTAGTTTTGTTGGTATTTTCATTGTACGTTGAAAACCTTTTCATGATCACCCGCCATGGTCTGATAGTGACAGGGGGTCCAAGCCAGACTTTGTTGACCATGGTCAAAGTTTACTGATTTGTTGACTTCGTGTCATCTTCTTTTTTTATGATGTGTGCTCTTTGACTCGTGTGTCAGAGAAATATAGCCTTTTTTTTTCTGAAGTCAAGTACTGGGACTGTGGAAGTCAAACATCCTAGTTCTAGAATGCAGTTTACGACTGATTTTACCTTGTTTGTGACACTGTTGTAGTCTCCGATTTGTAACCGCACTTCGTACTAACTTTTCCTTTGACTGAAATCCCTGACCTAATCTGCAAATTGATATTGTTCAGAACAAAAAAAAGGGTTGCCCTGGGTGGGAAAGTCCAATGAGTTTGATGTGTGCTGGGTCTACGTTCTTATAATAGGATGCCCCTTTGACACCCCCCCCCCCTCCCCCTTTTCTGAAGAATATATCATGCAATGTTCCTCTTTTTGTTTATAAATTCCTTGTAAATTCTGAAAAGCCTTTCGGTCCAGAATTAAATTGAAAAAAACCATAAGGGGATTGTTATCATTGGCTCAGCTCATTTGACGCAGTGAATGTCGGTCAGCTTGTCGGGAGGGTACTCTATTCGTTCATGTTTTTTTAAAGTATGTCTTTCTTTGGAAGAGATTTATCTCGAATTATGATTACAGTCGACTCCACTGACTTTGATAGTTGTGATAAGACAACCACTTTCTATTCATGCATGTATTGACAAACTTTAAATAAAACCTGTTATAGTACTGTGTTGGCATTTAAAGATTTGTTGAAAATAATTTTGCACCATCAAATAAAATTGTTAGGAATGTGTATGCTGCAGTGTACCGCTGGGAAGTGACACTTACGATTATCTATCTGTGAAGTTCCCTTCAGTCTCAGCTTACGGCTTATCAGTTTCTTCACTCTGAACCATTTCCAATGGACAGGGATGACATTTAGAAAGAAGACATTGTTTCCACTGCACTGTTAGAGAGTAAGCATCTCGAAACGGACTCACTGCAAATTATGTATTTTTGACTGTCAGACTTATTTTTGGATTTGTCATTTTGAATGGGGAAGCCTGTGGAATGGAGCTGATTTTGTTTTGTTAAAAAGTATTTGTAGTCCCTGTCTGGTGGTTTAGTTTTTTATTGTCAGCAAAATAGCAAGTCTGCTGTGTTGAATTTTTTTGTTGGCTTGAATTATTTAATAATTGTTAATAATATTGCCCCTGCTGCAGATGAAATCGTATGAAGTGATATTTTTAAATATCTTCATCATGCAATGGAGTTTGGTTTTATTTTGTTGAAAAAGATATTTGTTGTCCCTGTTACTGTGTTAGGTTCCTTTGGCTTCTTGTGGTTAGCAGTTAGCTGGTGGCTACATTCTAATGTATTTATGGGAGGAGTTCAGCAGAGGGTAGGCACTTATCGTGACAAGGTCCACTGAGCAAACTGTACAAGGGTTAGGGTAAGGATATACCTCGCTCAAAATATCCTCTCTTTTTTGTGTTGTTGGTTGGTCGGCCCTTTGCGGAATGCCTTCCGTATCATGTATATCATGTTCCTCTCACAATTTCTGCTTCCCCCACACCCACTTTGGTATTTTCCTTTCAGGGCGGTGGTCACTTCAAACCCAGTCCGGTATTTTTACTCTATAATCTATCCACTTGTCTCTGAAAATTTTTCTTCATGATGTAATCTTCTAAACCTTAAAACAAAAGCAGAGTATAGAAATATTAATATCTTTAATGTCCGCAAAAAAGTTACAGGCACAGCCAGTATTGCATTGGCCAGAGAGAAGTGGGGGCAGAAAAAAGCCTGTGCTGTGTAAGGCGTACATTTTTTTTCTTGGCTGTGGTTTAAATTTTTGTTATCTCTTTCTTCCAGCAGTGGGTGCAGGCTGAAGGGGACTTTTTAATCTTTATCAAAATGTTTTGTGTCTCCAATGTGGTGGCTGCGGCCAGATTTAGTTGTGAACAGTGACTGTAATTGTACAATAATGTACATTTTTTTTTTGGGGGGGGGATGAGGGGATTATGTTTTATTAAAGAAAGGAAATAATGATAGAATTCTAATAATTGTAGATTGAGCAGTGTGAGTTGGCTGCTGTATGCTCAACTGTGCTCATATGGGTATTTGGAGGGTGATTGTTAATTGATGGGTGCTCTTTTATGCGTTTCTCTCAAACATCTTTTCCTCTACTTCTGTCCCCTTTGTTTCCTGGCTACATCTATCCATGTTGTTGTCCTGTACCAATTGTTGTTAGCCCTTATCTTGGAATTTTACGTGAACAGTACTTACTTAGGTGGTTTGAGGGTGCCACCGGTAGGTCCTACTTCTTTTCTTTTCTTTTCATTTTGTTGTTTCTTTCCGTCTATTTAATTTCCCCCTGCAATGAATGACCATTTTCTCGCTGATGTGTATCTCAAATAATTTGTCAGACTTGCCCAGATTCTAAAATGTTCAAACTTGTGGCTACTGTCTTTAGAAACATGTGTATGGGTGGTTGGCGGGTGCTCTGATGTGGTTTGCTTCTTTCCTATTAACCATCTATTATCTTTATTTCCTCTCCTTCTTTTTTGTGTTTGTTACTCTCTTGTAACACCTCTAATCTTCGGCACTTATATATGACCTTATTGTGTTGCAAGTGCCATAAAACACACACAAAAAAAAGAAGAAACATGGGTAACTCCTGCAAATTGTTTTCCTTGCCCTGTATACAGCGGCATTCTTTTTTTTCTTTTTCTGAAAGGGGAATAACGTATATTGAATTCATGGTATAATTTGAGTGGGTGTTGGAGGGTGCAATCAGTGGTAGGTTGTACTATACTTTCCCTCAGTTGTTTCTGTCTGGCTGTCTTGCTCTTTCCCCGTTTAAAATGCCCATCAATTGAATTGTTTAGATAGGCTTCTCTTTACTGAAACAATGGTAGAATTAGGATTGTTTTTCTTGTGACAGTGGTGATCGTCGTTTTAAACGAAAAAACATTTTTTTAGGTTTGTTTATGGCGTTTAATGTAGTGGTTAGGGGGCTTTGTCATTCCATACAGGAGACATGCCCGCCTGCTAAATGATTTAGTTTGTATGTATTGGAGTATAAAAACACTTATATTAAAAAAAAACAAAAAACAGTTGAACCTGCCATGATGGCCACCTGTCTAATACAGCCACTTTCAAATGCTCTCCTTGCATTTTTTCTGTTAAAAAGCAGCACAGTGTAAAACAAAAACCTGTCTAAGATGGCCAGGCAAATCCCTGAACATCCGATGCTTTGTCACAAATTATATTTTGGCCCGTGATGCTGTAGACGAAGTGCCATGTAAGCCATTCATTTGTCGTTATTGTTAGTCCCTCCAATGAAGGAACTGATGATGTTGTGTAGATCCCTCCCACCATTTACTTAAGTTGATCAGTCTGTTTCAAATTTTCAGCTGGGAGGCGTGTGATATAGGATAAAATTAGGCTTAGGCTTTTTTAGGTCTAAGAAATCTTGGTTAAAACTATAAGCCCGCCCACAACTGATTCACTAGTCATAACTGAAGTGAGCTGTTGCTGTTTACCCAATCTGTAACTATTGACGTCAACAGGAACTTCCGACAGAAGTGTCGCCCGTTCACCGAGTGGTGGCAACCCATTCTAAGTTTGTTTTACCATGGCTCTCAGTTTCCCTGTCTGACATGTCTCATTTTATTTTATTTATCCTTACACAAAACCAGCAACGACATCAACAAGAAAACTTAATCGAAATTGATTTAAAAAAAACACTTTTGTATCCCCTCCCCCCCTCTCTCATCTGGGAATGGTTTGTGTTTTCTGAATTTTAAATAGTCCTGGCTAAGATGGACACTTTTTTGCTTGACAATGGGTGGCCGTCTTACACTGGTTCTACTGTATTTACGTTATGTTATATTATATAACTAGCTGGGCCCCCTTTCGATGAAAGAAATAATCGGTGCGTTAACATCGACTGAAGTCATTTGTCTATTATATTTATTCTCTACTGGAATGGAGCAATAAATCTTAGAGATGCAAAAAATTAGGTTGAGATCTATACTTTCAAAACAAAATGCACCTCACGAAATATCACTTCAGGCACTTCAGCTGTGAAGGACAGCTATGCAGATTTGTTTTGTTTCTCAGTGGAATAATCACAAAGACCAAAGAAGGACTGGAACTTTTTGTTAAATATATTTTTTCTAAATTCAGGAAATGAATAAATGAAAAATCGGGCTCCGTCATGGGGACCTATAGATCTATCTTTTTGCAGGTACTTGCCAACTTTCAACTCTGTAGATGTCGTAGTTTTATGGGAAAAGTGACACATGTGTTTCCAAGTTGCCAAATATATAATAGATTTGTTTTCTCTTTTCAGTTTTGGAAGACCTCACAAGAGATGATGGGATAATTCGACTGTGACCTTTTCTCAAAACAGGATAAAATTATTGTTCAGTAAATAGATTGTATCGCACCTTTTTGGGGGTGGAGAAAAGAATGCTGTGATGTGCAAGATGGATAGGAAGCGCTGTTGTCAGTTTCTGTCCCACTGGTACGATGTGAAGGTGGAGGGTGTGCGTCTGCGTGACTGGTGTCGCCCCTTGCCCGAAGGTCGCGTCAAGTGCTCGAACTGCAAGATCGTCATCAAGTATAGCAGTACGGGCCTCAAGGCGCTGAAGAGACATGCTCACTCCATGAAACATCAGGAAAACCGGGCTGCCCAGCTGGGTGAGTACAGCTTCAGTTCTCTTCTTTAGCCTGATGGAGTGGGTGGTTGGCAGGTGCTGTGATGAGGTTTCTTTTGTATGTTACTCTCTAGTAAGACATATATATAATTTTTGGTATTTATAGAAGGATCTGTTTGTGTTGGAAGTTATGTAAAACTCTTACTCTAAAACCGAAACTAATGCTTCATTGACCCGTAGGAATGCACGTCTCAAAGTACAGTGCAGAAATGTGGTATGTAGCAATTAACACGCATCTATATATATATATATATATGTGCTCGGGTGCACGAGTCCTAAAGGCTTTGGGGTTGGGGGGGAGAGGCTCAACAGTGGATGGATTGAGCAATTGTTTCATTGTTCCGGGCTTGTCAACTGTCCTGAATTTCCTGTGACTCCTGGATTTGGCACTCAGGAATTTGAGAGACCTATCACATACAATACACCAAAACTAGCCCCACTTGATATAATTTAGTTTGTTGTTTCGAAATCTGATGTTGTGACTGATATTGGGTGTCCCTGATTAGATTTTGAAAAAGTTGGCAAGCATGTGTTTTGATACTTTTTCAGCTTTATGGGTAATACGTTTGTGGTTAGATCGAAAGGGAAGCCAGACATATCCGACTCTTTCTCTGTAGGAAGTAGGCATACTAAAGTGAAATCACTTAAAAAAATTAAACTGTTATCCACACCCACACCCCCACTACAATAACTCAGTCTGGGTTGGTGGTCTTGTGTGGTTTGCTCCTTCTTTCCTATCAAACATCTATCATCCTTATCTCTCTTTTTTCCTTTCTTTGTATGTTACTCTATTAGATAGTAAGTTTTAGTAACACCTCTAGTCTTTGGCACTTGTGTGACCTATTTGTGTTGCAAGTGCTGTTAAACTCTTGCTTTAACACCTTAAGTAGAAGATTTTGTGTGATGGTTCAGTATCGTGAAAGAAAAGGAATAAAAAAGACAGTGGGGTTAAGGTGGGTGGTGGATTTTGTAGACATATTGTCTGACATGTAACAACGTACTTACACAAATGGCCGGAATTTAACTTAACAAATGACACTCTGAGAGAAACCGAGTTGATCAGGAAGACACACAGCAGGAAGGAGTGGGTTACCATCCATGATGGTCAATGTGTGCTACCGACCTGACACACTGACATCTGTGATGTAGTTAGGTGCTCCACTGTTGCACACAGGAGACTCAAGTTCGATCCCCGAGTGGGGAGAAAAATTGAACTGTTATCAAGTATTTTTCTTTTTGCTTGGATGTATGGCTCTCAGTCTGGGTTGGCCCTGACAGGCAGGGCTGCAAGCCCGCCTCCTTAGTGATGGAAAATTGTGTGGGTGGGGACGTAAAGACACCTACATTAAAAAACCCACCAGACAGCTGAAGAAGAAATTGTAGTAGTAAATGTTGTGGGAGTGTTTGCATCACTTGCTGGTGGAACAGCCGGGGGTACATATTGATTGTCTGTGCAGTCCTTGGGGAACTGTGGTTTATG